ATTTTTTGAGCTCTGCATAACTCTGATTTTCTGAGTTCAGCATACCTGAACCACTAGAATCTCCTAGTTTGTTGAGGGAATATTTGTGTCACTAAAATCTATATTTCCGAGGACGTTAAAGGCTACATTCCAGAGTGACGTGATTTTCTAGAAACCTTTCATGGCATCATGACAGAATTTTCTTCGGCGTGAACATATGATAACTCCATGCTTTGCTCGTGGAGGTCATGGTTTCCCGGGTGAGCTTCTATGTGCGTCCTTCTCTTGATGTTAGCTCTTTGTTATCACGGTAAGCTCGAGAATACGGAGGTTAGTTCGAGCTGTCATCCTGACCTCGTAATGCTCGACTTTTAGGACCCTGGGCTTCGTGTCTCGAGTGACCTCCACTAGGTGGCCTTCTGATTGCCGGACTATTTTGACTTCATTTTCGGAGTATTATCAGTACTAATACCTAAATAAGATGAATGTTTTTAACTATACTTATTGGCAAATTGCTTTTCAACACCAGTAGCTTTTCATTTGTGAAATCATTGCTCTAAAACTATACAACTTACACAAATTCGGTTCAGATCAATTTGGGTGCCTACCCAAATTCAAATGATTATAATCCTAGGAGAATTGAGAAGGTTAATTGGGTCAGAATTATGTTATAGAGTGGGTTTTGGGGGGAGGGGGAGGGGGAGGGGGAGGGGGACCCTGGAGAGATATCTTTGTTTGTTGTTTCTTGTGGTTTAATTAGATTTTACAATGTCTTATCTTTTGTTTGCTGGTTTTGGTTTTACAAAAAAGCCAAAAGTGGCGTGTGAAATAGTATTATGCCAAAAGCTTATGGAGAGAGAGAGAGAGAGACTGATTGATGCATCAGATACCTGTATTTCTTGACATCCTGTTGCAGTCTAGTTTTTTATATTTTATTTTTGGTAATTGCAGGTTTATTCCACTTGTAGGTATGTGATAATACGGATTTTTAGTGAGGATAATATTGGTGTTTTCAATTGAACTTAAAAAGGCTACGCTCGGGATTGACAACGAGTTGAGATTGTGTCGAATTAAAATGTATTTGTTTATATTCGATTTATTTATCATTGAGTTTATGTTGTATAAAGTATGTTCATGTTAGATTTGCATTATATATTCTCGGTACTCTCTAAAAAATAAAATTAATTTATTAAATGAATCTGATAACCAACCCAAGAGTGACCCACATCAATTAAGACTAATCTCCTACCTACAACTTGGGGTTGATTTCATAACTAACACAGGAAAAATTGAGACACAGGTGTAAGTAACTGTGTGGTGGCTAATCTAACAGTAAAATTAACAATGCCCAAGTTAAAAAGAATCTTTTGATGCTCTCCCACCACTGGTAGCTCAAACCTGAAGCCAACGTTCTGAGGACTAGACTTGTGCAAAAAAACAAGTGAAACTTTGATTTGATTGAATCATCACAAGCTGCCTGTTTCCATGTTTTGAAGTAAGTGAGTTACTAAAAAGGAATTTTTTGCTTGACGTTAATGCTGGGAAAAGGCCAATTCTATACTACGGTACCCAAAAAAAAAAAAAAAAACATTTAGTACTGCACTTACGAGTGTTCAAATTTTTAATTATTTGCATATTTATCACTTTTTTTAGTACAAAAAAAATTATTACTGTTGTAAGTGATTTATCATAATTTTGTGTATTTTTATCACTGGTGTGAGTGCAACTGTCGTAGTAGCTATTTTTATGACTTTTCTTCAATACTACAACAATGCTAAAAATATTTACAAAAATGATAAAAATATATGCAAATATAGTAATTGTTGGTACGGTACCATTTTTTTTTTTGGGTACTATAGATAACTCCAAGATCCAAAATAAAATTGATATGATATTAAAAATTATACTTTTTAAAGGTGAAATTATAATTATTTGAGATAATTTAAGATCAATCATGAAATATTGTGATCCATCATAAATACCCATAATCGGTTATAACTTCCTCTATTTTACAGTTATAACTTACATGATTATAAAAAATTATAACATAAACTTAAAAAATTATAAATTTCGTTATAATACTAAAATCGTACTACACTCTTCCTCGCCTTACCTCTAGACGATCAACGCATCTGTGGTTGATTGATGAGCATTTTTTAAGCAATAAAGTTATGCATCTCAAATAATTTATTAAATATTGTATCTTAAATGATGTTGTGAAATCTTATGCATTGAATATTTAGTGAAAATGATGAGTGAAACCTACTATTTTAACCACCTACACTAATTTGGTATACAAAATTTAGTAAACAATTTTGTAAGCGTTACGATACTCGAGAATTAAAATTAAAAAGAGTTTGACATGTCTCATCCTTCATTGGTTAAAAAATAAAATATAATATAAAAAAATTAACTTTTCAATAAAGAAATCCCATCATTCATTTGTTAAATATTAAGACAACCATTAATCAACCCTTTGTCTAAGTTCTAAAATTGCATTGACACTGGATTCTTCGATCATTGTTTTAGGGTGGTAAAATATAAAACGATCTATTCATATGACACAAATATGACATAAAATTACAAGATTTGAGTTTTTTTTAAATTATTTGTTTCGTAAACGAATGAAACCGATATGACACGATTTATAAATGAATTGGATATAGATGAAGTCGGTCAAAAAATATATATATAACACAACTCATTTATATATTAATTATACACGACATGAACTCCATATGACATGATTCTTTAAGCACGAATTAGTAAAAAAATTAGATATAAATAGTATTTTTTTATATGAATCAACAAACACTCGACACAAATCCGCTTTTACCCAATATGATTGACTGGTCTAGTTCATTCCATAACTAAAGTTTTTATTTCACCAACTTTGACAAATTTCGTTCAAACCAAGGTGGGTGCCTATCAAAATCTGAATGATCATATTCCTTGGAGAATTGAAATGGTTAACCGTTGCCTCGAAAGACACCTATATAGATAAATTAAGATTGTCGTAGTATATTTTTAAAAAATAGTGATGTCAATTGATCGGAGGAAGGTCCACACGACAATTTTCAAGATTATGGTAAGATTTAAGATTTGGAAGAGATGTCCAAAGGTCACTTTCCATTAGTTGGAAAAACGAAAAATTATTCAACTAGTTAGCTCACCGTCTCGTTTATAGCTTTCTATATCCTAAAAAAGAAGATAATATAAAATATTATTCCCTTCATTTTCATATGAGATATTGCTCCTTAGATACAAAAATGTTACATTGATTAACTTTTTGTTATCAACTCGTATGGATTGTTAGAATAATTTTCTTGTTGATTTTCACTAATCATCCAATTATATTTATATCCTGTATCATTTGATAAGAATACGTGGTGAGAACGACACGGTCGAGCTGGAAAAAAAAAAAGAGAAAAAAAAATAAGATGTATTTTCAACCCATTTTTTCTCAATTTACTCGAATTATATATCAATTACCAAAAATTCAAGTGATGTTCACTATTTATAAATAGAATCACTACCCACCCATATTCATTCAATGGGTAATCTAACATTAAAGAAAAATAAACTTAAAAATAATCTAGATTCAGGCAAAAGTCCTCTTCCTTGTGTATAAATCCCACATTTAACTAAACTTTGTGAAGCTTCTGGAGGGGAAAAGAAAAAAGAGTCAAAGCCTTTTCAAGTGCCTAGTCCTCATGGAAATGATAAAAAGATCGATAAGAAACCTAAGCAATAAAAACAGTAGCACAAGAGACTTTTTAAAACTTTTGGGTTGATGATGATTTCCTGAAATTGCGCACCACTAAAGGTTGCAGGTGGTACTAATGGAAGGTCCTCTTTTATCAGCCACTTTCTTACACCTAAAAAGCCACATCTCTCACTTTTGTATATTTTTCCCACATTATCTGTGATCATATGATAGTGTAGGCCGCACAGCGCCGCATAAGACGAGTTGTAAATTTATGTACCTCCCCTCTAATTCTCTTTCTAGTCTGATCAAAAATAGACTTTTCACGTCATGACTAGAGTATTTATAAAAAAGAAATCTTTCATAGCTTAATCCAAGAAGTTATTAAAATTCGAATTTAAGACATCTAAATTTATAATTCGTCTTTATTACCACTTGAACTATCCTTATATCAACTTCCATTGGGAAAATCTATTTCCTTTCTTTCTATGCACCTCTCTCGTAAATTTAACATCATCCTTTCTGTTGTCTTAACATAAAAAAAGGGTGTCAAATTACATTCTGAGCCTCTTAACTATGTTTTTGCTCTCGCGGTCCCTCGAACTATTGAATTTCTCAAATTACCCCTTCAATTATTTGAATTTGCGTTATATTAGTTTACAAGCAAACGTTCGTCATTTTTTGTGCTGCATTAGACCTGAACTCTATAAGAACCACAAGTACCAAAATTGATTGACCTAAGTGAACTAAGACTGAATTCAAAACGATATGCAAATTACCTGACTAATGAAAGTACAGGATGAATAAAAAACGAAGACTAAATTTACGATAATATGCAAATGACCTGGCTAATGAAAGCATAGGATGTATTGATTGCCCACCTCACTAGAAATAGGATCGTTGAACCTCCGGTGGCAGATAAGAAAGGATTTGCATGCCTAGTCTTTGCTTTTCCGCCCTCCTCCCTTGATCCTTAAAAGGGGAAAGAACGAAAAAAACACCTTCAATATGAATGAAATTGAACAGGAATAAGGCCAACATAGGACAAGTGCTTCATTCTGGTCCATCAGTGCCCAGGAATACATAGTTTGCCTCATCAATGCTTTGAGTCACAATTTGCCTTTTCATTTGTCACATGAATGTGCAAAGAATTACTATTTACACCCCTTAAATCAAAAAGTATACAACAGACCAGTTTTTATGCACTACAAACATCACCACCAGATCCTGGCTACACTACACACAGCATCCCTAATCACTAAACATCATGATAGGGTTCAATTATGACAGAGAATTTGGTACATGTTTAAATCCGTCAGAAGTGCAACGGCCTACACTGAGCTACTTCAACCTCAGAGGGGCAGTAAGGACACTTAAAAGGCCGTGCGCTGTTGTTTTTGGACAGTTTTGTAATAGACTGCTTGCAGAGAACGTGCCCGCATGACAATAACATTGGAGGGTTCTCATCGTTCGCCTGGTCCCGACTCACAGGACATACAAAGATTGAATGGAACTGAAACTCCCTGTCCAAATCAATTGGCACAGGTAATTGCTTCATAGACTGCCATTCCTGCTTCTTCCCTGTCATGACATTCATCAGCTTCAGAAGGGTTGGCAACCCTTGGAATCCCGCTGCAATTGTCACACTTAACGGGCTTGTATAGGATTGATCCAAAAGATTGCAGAACTGCTGGGTTAGTTCGTCAGTCAATTTTTCCCAATGGGTTGGGGATAGTAATTCAGAATATGGTGAAGAATCGAGCTTTCCAGCCCACAGTAGACAGGCCATGAGCTTTTGGATTTCAGCCATATGGTTGGTTGCAAATGGTGCTAGAGAAGTTCTGGCGTACTTCAGAGCTTCATCTCTCCCTCTCTTCTGTAGAATTTCCACAAACTGCAAGCGATGAAGTCTGAACTCAATGTTTGATCCATTTTGCTTAAGTTTCTCATGGTTGGTGGCAGCCCAGTTGAGTGCTGGTTCTAGGTTGAGAGACTTCATGGCTTCAAGTATTTGATGCATTTCCTGGAAAAATACCTTATCTCTAGCGTCTGCTTCCCCAGCTTCATTAATGAAGCAATCACCAAGATCAAACAGGCCATCCCTATAGAAATGGCTAGCAATTATCTGATTAACCGTGTGAACGTCAAAATCAAAATTTCTGTAGGCCTTTGATATATCAGGATTGAAAGATTTCTCCAGGAGCTTTGGGTACTTGCTCAATGCAATGTTCAACTCCTTCTGTGTGCCTTCCAGCTGATTGGGTTGAGCAATCTCTTTCAACTTGGTTTTCAGTTCAGTCAGAATCAACTTATGATCAGGTGGAGATGTGGCATCATGAACTGACTGTATTCTTGTTAATGCCTGTTCAATTTCTTGACCAATCTGTTCTATTACTTCTTGAGACTTAGACGAGTACAACTTTTGCTTTTTTGTAACCCGATCAAACGCATCTTTGATGGTATTCAACTCCATTATCCAATTGTTCAAACTTTCTTGGTTTTATCAACTGTATTAAGAAATGGATAAGCACCTACAACGGGTGGGAAAAAAATCACTAAGCATCCAGTTGAGTCCTTGGAGACCACATCCACAGAGAAACAAGCACAAACTGAAAGGATCAATTTCCTCAGTTGTTAATGTTAGAAGAATTAGACTTTGAAAAGCATATTATCTATGTAGAACAAACAACAAAATGACCATGGTTTGAGACATTTATTGAATATTATAACTAGAAAGTCGAATTCTCAACTTATAAAAGTACAACAAATATTAAGACTGATCCAATTTTTATCTACTTTGATCTAATGATACATAATTCATCCCAAATTTTTTCCCCAATCAAAAACATCATCTCCTCTACACAGCCCCCAATGACGGACAACTTAACTAACACACGCCCACTGCCACACAACTCCACAAGTCCACACCTACCTCTCTCTCTCTTGTCTCTCTCTCTGTTCACTTTCATTTTAAATTGCGTAATTAAAGAAAACATAATAAAAAAATAAACTGCTATCTAAAATATAAATGTTGCACACCCAATGCTCGATTTTTGGTATTGCAAAGTGCCTTCAGTGAATTACAAATGGCAACAATAACTGAAAAAAGACTACCACAAACTCAAAGTAACATAATAGCTGAAAGAAAACATCCATCAAGGGTGTTCCTCAACAACATGTGGCAGTTAAATGTCGAGATCCTGAACAGCAAAATGGAATTTCAAGACTCAAGATCGAGATATGAATCACCCCGTGCTGATCAGAAGGATAGTTGGAAAGCCCATAAATGATCCACTATTTGTTACACAAAAAGATTCGTAGCGGCAAAGTATTAGGCCTTAGACAAACTCAAATTAAAACAGTATCTGAAAGAAAACTGTTAATGCTCCTCCTCAAAAACAATATTTGGCAGTGAAATATCAAGATCCTGAACAGCAAAATTGAATTCCAAGACACCCAAGATATAGACACAAACTATAATGTGTTGTGAGGCAAAAATAACCGGAAAGCACATCCATGATTCAACATTTTTTGCACATAAAAAAAAAAGGACACAATGCTTCTTATTTTAAACCTCATTTTGGTAGTTTGCCACATGATGTGCTACAATCCCTTTGTGTAGGCCTTTTGACCTGGATTACCCTTTCTTTCTTGCTATATCAAACTGATTTTATCCCTTCTTGTATTATTGATTCAATTCAACCAACTTATCAAATAGGTTCATTGCAGATTGTACTGCTCAAAGCAATAAGGATGCGCAATAAAGAGACCTATTCATTACCATCAGTCGTCAAGTTTTGATAACAGGAAATACCAATACTACGGGCCGGTTTGGTTTAGTTTTTGAAAATAGTTTTTTGTTCTCTAATTTTTGGAAAAGAGGGATGTAAAGAACAAAAAATGAGAAACAAGCTGAACTTGTTTTGGATATTTTGGAGACAAAAGAAGGGAAAAATGAAAAACACGGAGAACAATTGAAGTCTTTAATGAGGTCTCCCCATCGAATCCCCTTAGAAGCAAAATAACTCATACTATAAAAGTTTTTTTTTTCTTTTGTCTTTCTCACTCTCCCCTTCTTTCTCCACAGAAGCTCTCAGACGGAACTCTTCCCAGCAACTGCTCTTCTCCAACAAAACACACACACACACACACACACCGTCTTCTCCGACGACTAGAGGTCGTCTTCTCCAACGACTAAGAGCTCTCCGATGACTTGATCTACTTTGGAACACAAAAATACAAAACAATTTTTTGATTCAAATTGGTCTTTTATCTAGTTCGATCGGCGATCAAACATAAATCTGACGCTTTTTTTTTTGTTTTTGAACTAATCTATTTTTTTTTGGTTTAGATCTGGTTATATATATATAAAATAAAGTACAATATAATTCAAATTTTAAAACATATATAAAATAAATTTTATTTTTCACAATTGAGATCTTTTTAAATTGGGAGAATTACATCTAGACTCCCTGACATTTGAAAAATTACACATAAATCCCCTAAAATTTATACGCGCATAACACTTAAACCTCTGTTGTAAATATATTCATTAATAAGTTACACTTAGACTCCCTTGAAGTTTGTAAGTATATAATACTTAGATCTCTTAAGTTTAAAATATTATACTTAGACCAAAAATACTCCAATCAAATATAGAATATCAAATATTTTAAATTTTAAAATTAAAATTTCTATTCTATTGTATTATTTATTTGAATAAAATTAAAAATAAAAATTTAATTTTTTCTTAAAAAATTGTAATTAATATGCAATTATACTATCTATTGAAATAAAACTAAAAAATCAAATAAGGGATCTAATTCATTCATAATAGAACATAAATTTTTCATTCAAAATTCATGTTCTATTATATCATTTATTGAAATAAAATCAAAAATAAAAATTTAATTTTTTTTAAAAAAAGTCATAATTAGTATATAATTATACTATTTATTAGTATATAATTAAAACCAAGTTAAATTCCAATAGACAATATAATTGTATACTAATTACGATTTTTTAAGAAAAAAATGAATTTTTATTTTTGATTTTATTTCACTAAAAGATAAATAGAACATGAATTTTAATTGTAAAATTTAAAATATTTAATATTTTATCTTTGATTGAAGTATTTTTAGTCTAACTATAACATTTTAAACTTAAGGGGCTATGTATTATATACTTATAAACTTCAAGGGCGTCTAAATGTAATTTATTAATGTATATATTTACAACAGGGGTCTAAGAGTTACGCACGTACAAATCTCAGAGGATCTGTGTGTAATATTTTAAATGTCGAGGGGACTGAGTGATTAAGTGACAAGCCTCAGAAGGTCTAGATGTAATTCTCCCTTTTAAATTTTACTCCAATAAATGATCTGATATTATTTTTTGGTTTCAGATCTAATGTTATTATTTTTTTTATCTGATCTGATTTATTGAATTTTATACCCCATATATTTTCCCGCTCATCACACTATCCAACTCAACGGTCCTGCCTGACTGACACCGGCTCCAACGACACGCATGCCTGACGCACACACCCCCTACTCTGTTAACCCCCATCTCTTCACACTAACCCCCTCTTTCTCTATTTCTTCTTTTTCACCCTTTTCTCTCATCTCTATATGGCAATCAAGCAACTCCAGCAACCCCTCACCCTCCAAGGTTAGTCTACTTCTCTCCTCCTCTTCTCTTTCTCTTTTCAGTTGTTCATCCACAAAATACACCAGTCATTATGCACCATTCACACAACCAACACGCATACACACAAACCCACCACACCTCTCTCCTCAAACACTCTGTTTTCCTACCCACTCACTCTAAAATATATGGTGGGTAAGTATGGATAGCAAAAAAAGTATGGTTAGTGGAAATGATTTTATTCTCCTTTAGAAATTGGTGATTTGAAAAGGTGGAGTGCATAATGAAGGATGGTTTGGTGGAGTACATAAACCCCCAAGCCTTCTACAAAACCCCTCCCCCCCAAAACCCGTAATCTCCCAAACTCATTTCACTCTCTCATTCTACCTTCAGGTTTCAACCCATCACTAAACCCTCAACCAACACTTCCTCCAATAGCGCCAACTCAAACACACAAACCTCAAACCCCAAATCCCAAATCCCCACAACCCAACGCCAACAGAACAGCCACTGTTAGAGCCATGCCGCCGACCCTTTCTTGCCCCTTCTCTTAACTCTTCGCAGTCTCTCTCTCTCTCTCTTTGTGACCTTTCTTTGCCATATCTCCTTCACTCTGTCTCCGCAATCTGTGTGTGTGTGTACAGTATCACCCTCAGAACGCCATTGCCATCAACAACAGTGCTCCATGGTATTTATCTCTATTTCCTACCTCTTCCCTCTGTCCATCTAGGAAAACACCACACCCCCACAATTTCGCTCCATCTACGAAGCACGGATACTCACCGGGGAGTCGTCGTGGCAGTGTCGGACACGTGTCCGACACTTATAGAAGTGTCCTAAATAGTGGCTTTTGATTTTTTTTGTCAGATACGACTCGGATATGCAAGGGATACAGAGGGATACGACAGCGGTATTTTTGTTATTTTAAAAACTTCGGGGGCTGAAACAACCAAAAAAAAAAAAAAGCCAAACTACGTTGGCTTGAAAAAGAAAAAGCAAAAGACGTCTGCCTGACGACCCAGTTCGACACAGAGAGAAGAGAAGAGCTCAAGAGAAGAGAACGAGCTCGAGAGGACTAGAGGAGGAGAAGAAGAGGGAAAAGGGAAGAGGAAGGAAGACTAACCTACGACCGCCACCTAGATCTGGACCTTCGATTGCTGCCCAATCTCTTGCAAGTTCTTGTTGCTTCAATTTTTTTTCCAGATCTGCTACTACTCCTCTTACTTCTTCTTTTGGTCTGTGTGGTAGACTTTTAAAAAATTTAATTAGGTTAATTTGATTAGGTTACGATTTTAGGGTTTTCATAATTGGGGATTTTTTGTTGTTATTCTGCTAGACTCCTCTTACGTCGTTTGTCTTCTTGCTGTGTTGTTGACTTGCTGCCTTTGTGGTTTTTTTTTTTTGTTCTGGTGCTATGTTGTTGGCTACTATGTCTTTTGTTGCTGACTTGCTGCCTTTGGGGTTCACAATTTAAGTAATGTTTGTTATGTCTTTGTTATATATATATTTATTTTAATTAGTCGTATCCTCGCCGTACCCATATCTTATATTATGAGATTTTGCCGTATCGCCGTATTCATATTGTATCAGATACGACACCAGTGTCCAGTGTTATCAGAACCAGACCGACCGGTCGGACCGGTTCAACCGCGAACTGGGACCTAGACCGGTCCGATTCTCTAATTGGACCGTATATGGCAGTGAATCGGCTATAAACCGGAAAATCGGCTGGTTTTTATAAAAAATCGTGAACTGGCGATTTATAAAAACCGAACGGTTTAATACCCATTTAAAAATTAAATTACATAAATAAATTAAATACAAATTTATAAATGATTTGGGGCTTTTTTTTTGTCCTAAATCGTAGAACAAAAAGCACCAACACCACCAAGCCCCAGCAACATCAGGGCCTCAGGCCACTTCTGGACATTGATTGCGATCAGCGGCATCAGCCACTGCGATCAGTGACCAGGGAGGGATCTTCGACTACGACTAGCAATCTTCGACAGCGATCAATCACTGCGACCAACAATCTTCAACTGCGATCAGCTAACCCAGCAAACCCAGATTGCAATCAGCCACTGCGACCAACAATCTTCGACTGCGACCAGCAAACCCAGATTGCAATCAACGACTCAAACGAACCCAGCGAACTTAGGCGTCATCTCCTCCCTTTAAGGTAAAAACTTCATTTCATATCTTATACAATAAAACTATGGTTTGTGTTTTTGGGCATAAAATGATCTAACCAAGTTTGTGCTTGTGTTTTTGACTGAGAGTCTGTGACAATGTGACTAAATCTCTTTATTTTGTAATTTTTTAGTATGATGTGTGATGTTTGTTTAATTATTTGGTGTTTAATTCTGGACATTGTTGGGTGATTTTGCACATTTTTGGGTCTCTGACAGTGTGACTACAAAATCAATATATTTTGCACATTTTATATTTTTTAGTTAAATTATTATATATATTTTTTATTTTTTATTATATGGCCAGTTCGACCTGTGACCCACCGGTTGAACCAGTGAACCATTGACCCAGTCCCCTAGCCGTTTTGATGATCGGTCTGGTTCTGATAACATTTGCCCGTGTCCGTATTCGTGCTTCTTAGCTCTCCATCTCCTCTGCTTCTCTCCACCACAATTATCTTTCTCTACCCTTTTCTTTTCTCATCTTTTTTCTCACACATGCATACGCCTCTGCCATCCCCAACAATAGTCCCACCCCCTTTCCAGCACATAAAGTGTTTGTTGAAATGCCTCAAAAAACAGTGTTCCCTGCTCGAGTTGAAACATCCATCTTTCCACATGCCTTTTCTTTTTTCCTCTCCTCCCCTCTCTTTCTCTCACACAGTCACATCGTCACCAACCATAATCTCACCCTCTTTCCTTGCACATAAAGTGTTTGTTCTTTCCCGTAGGTTTTTTCCCACCAAGAGAAATCACTTTCGAACAAGCCCATCTTCTCACCGAGAAATCATTTTCGAATGGGCAAGTGATTAACATTATAGAAGCAAAATTGGTTGATTCGTTTGGTGAAAAGATGGTACATGAGAGATGCTTGATAGAAGAACTGATAAAGAATGATAATGCAGAATCAGACTTTATAGTATATCGGGCAAACCTTACGTTAGTAAATTGAAAGGAGCTGAGATTTATGGACTAAAACTGAAAGAGCAAAAATCCGTTTATGCGAATTAGTGTTGCTAGAGTTGGGGATGAGGTGGTTGTTCTGGTGCTCCCAGATCAAGAAAATGGTAAAGGTAGAAATGGATGAACAGTGTTACTTGCCTGATATTGAGACCCAATTCACCTTCAAATTTGCTGAAAATTAAATTTGTTTAGTGAGTCTAGATGTCACTCATATTAACATTTATGTTGTTTTTTTATTATTAAGTGTCAAATCATTTAATTCTATCTATTAATTTTTCATTTATCAATACTTGATATGCTAAACAAACACATCAATGTGGGTGAGTTGCGTTACATTTATGAGTTGAATATATTTTGTTGTGAATTATGATGCGAATTAGTTTCTATATTAACATCAATCAAAATTTAAGTTATGGAAAAATTTCATTATTGACCAACTGAGTTTCACGTAGTGTTTTTTGTTTAAGTGTAATTGTAGACTTTCTTAAATGTTGAATTCATTTGAATTGACATGTAATTATTGGATGCTCTTTTTTTTATTAGTTAGAATGCCAGATACTTGAATGATATATGGGTTGATCTAATAAGCGGTGTTTATAATTGGTGAAGCAAAATGCTTGTTAATTTATGAAAGTTGCATTCAGTTCTTATGTTAAATGCTGGAGTTTTGGTACCACCAATAGGTGCCAACATGTGGTGTAGGTTAGATTGTTTTTGACCTATGGGTGAAGTGTGTAAGGTTTTTGCTATAGTTGAAAGGGCTATGGTGTTTATGGTTTGTAATTTTAAAAAGTGAGATAATGATCGGTTGAAAATGGATTTCTTTGGTATATAGTTGATTGCTAAACAATGCCCCTCTCTCTCTATCTCCCTCTCATGTCTATGGTCATGGTTGGGTTGCACTTGGCAAGTGATTAAAATGATTGGTTTGATTGCCCCTGTGGTTGCAAGATATTATGTGTAAAATCATTCAAATTTTTCCTCAATTCCTTACTCCTGTACTAATTAACTATGAGTATATGCTCCTGTCATTTCATTCCTTGCGTGACTAATTTGTTCACGTTGTGTATGAAAGATTTTTTTTTATGGATGGAGAACTCAAACTTATACTTTCTCTTCATAGGTTCTACGTGTCCCAATTAACTGTTTTCTCTTTCCTAAATATTTTATCACATTAGAATTATTTCTCTTCATAGGTTTTATCGATTAAACTAACAGTAGATAATTATTTTTGTTTGTTACATAAGGAGGGTATTTATTTAATTTTTTTTAAACTTGCTTAAACTATGCAATACTTTCTCTTACTACGAAATTGTGTTACCTATTTGAGCTAAGTAGTTTCAGTGGATTGGAGGCTTAGATGACTCCTTGAATAATGAATGATGACATCTAGAGTACTTTAGAATTTAGAGTTTGATTTGTAGGATTAGTACTTTAGTGCTTTGGACTTAATTCTTTAGTTTAGGAATAATTTTCTAAAATAATAAAGTCATAATATTATACTTTTGTTGCTGTAGAATCTTATGAACATTACTTTTGTTGTTGTAGAATCCTATGAACATTAGTTTGTTTTTGCCTATTCCTTTTAAGTCTATTGTGAATTATTTTTTAGTTGAGTTGGTCAACTATTGAATTATAGTTTTTTTTTTTTTTTTTTTTGGGGGGGGGGGGGGGGGAGGTTGGTATGGCAGAATTAACTAGATTAACAAAAAATTAAAAAATGGTAACTTTGTTACTGATTGTTATTGAATTTTTTATAAACCCTTGCGAGTTTTTTTTATTATCATACTGTTATTGAGATGAATAATTGATATTTTTGCATCATTTGCAGGTCAAATGAGCATGGTGGTGTACATTAATGTGAGCCCCTTTTGCTTTGTTACCATTTTTAACGATTGTTGTAGTTCAGTTTTTACTTTCAATTGACGATAGCTGGGACAATTCACGAATGTTGGCTTTTTTTATAAGTACATTTTTTTTCCTTAGCCTGCATCATTAATAAAACATATTATCTTAATGTTGAAGTTTGAAACTTTCTTGGCCGGGAGTATTTTCATGTGTTTGAGATATTTAAGTACTAATAATTGTATGATCGCTTACAAGCAAGTTGTTTAGTTAATCCTCTTTTTAATTTTGTATTTGTTTTTATATTTTATATTTATTTTTAATTTTATTGATATGTTTGATCACATCTGTTTTGCATTGAAAAATTAGGCATTGTCACGTTTAGTTATTTTGCCATTCTTTTGCTATGTTTCCTTACTGTTGAAATTTCTGTTTGAATTTGGAATTAGTTTTTTTGGTGGTTGAATCTTGTTGGTTTCTTTGTATTATTGGTTGATACTAAGTCTCTATGTCGTCTTTGGATTGTGTAATTACCGTTACATGTTGATTAAATATTGGTGATTTTTTTTTTCTGCATAACACAGTGCTTTTCAGCACAGACATTTCTTTTACTGACCTTGTAAGTTGATTTTTTAAATAAATACTTTTGAGCACTATTGTTAGTTCTAATTAGGTATATAGTTTCAAACATATGAATTTTATGTTTTTCAGTTTAAATTTATGACATTTTGACTATTAAGGTTAAGTTTTCTCCATCTCTATTGCAATTTGTCTTCAATAGAATTTTGATATTAATAATACTTTGTTGAATATGTATACAAAGTGTGATATTTAAGGATGTGATTTTAAATTTTCAGCTTATTGCGATTATTTCGAGTCCACAATCAATATTCAATTTTTTTTGAATTGCATCATGCTTTCAAGCACAAGTTATTACTAATAAATCAATAAACCAAGAGACTTCAAACCTCAGATTTTTTGGTTCATAGATATTGTATTTGTTATTGATCTGAGATTTTTTGGTTCAAAAAAATTTATTGATGTTTGATTCATTTTATATATAAATTGATATTGAAACTGTTATAAATTATATTGAATTTGTTATAAATTGAAGGCCATTGAATTTTCTCATATTTTAAAATTTGGTTTATTGAATTTTTTTTATGAAAATGTCCATCTAAAAATAACTTTCTCATATTTTGTTTATTAATTTTTGAATTATTGTCCAAACATATATTTAAACTGTCCAAACAAGTTTAATTGTTTTCTCTTCTGTAAAATTGTTTTTGAAATCATCTAACCAAACAAGTTTTCGTCTCAGAAAGCATCAAAAATATTTTTTTTAAACTATTCTAAAAGTTATTTTGAGATACTATTTTTTGAGATGCAAACAAAACATGGCCAAAGTTTTTTTGGTGCGTTTAAAAAAAAAACATAATTATACACACCACAAACACATAAGAAAGCATATATATGAAGTATGAAGGAATATGTGCAGCAAACATAAATGAGCAAGCACATATATTTAATATACTAACGCCAATAAGTGAAGCCTAATGATGAGCCAAAAAGCACAATAACCTGTACCCTCAACCTTAAAAAGCTTAAGACGGAAAAGATACTTCCCTAAGAAGTTGAATGTAAGTGAACAGCATCTTAAAAACTGGAAAAGAAAAAGAAAGAATAAGAGCCTCGTTGTTATCTTTTCATTAAAGAAAATAGGAAAAAAGCTAATATCATGATGTTTTTTGGAGGGAATCTGCAATCAGGTCTTACTTTCGTTTTATGTTATCAATCAATCAAATTACAAATTTCAAAAGAAACCTGAAATTACCGCAAAATGAAAATGGCAAACAATTGGCATAGGTTCTTTAAATATACCTTATCCAACTGAAAATATTGTTGAGATGTGCAAAAAACCAAAAAGACATTCACATTGGCCTGAAATGGTACTCCCTGGTCAAGGTTTTATCCAAATGAGATCACCAAATTGCTCCAGAGCAGAACTGACAGGAATTGTATTTTCCGGTGACTAGTGGTGGCATATATATTATGGTATAAGCATCACATGCAAAGCAGGATTTCAACCAACCTTGGAGGTCAGTCCTACACAAAATCATGAGCCTATATCATGAAAACCCACAAAGTTGGTGGCTGAATGCATTTTCGGCACAGCTGACTACAGGTCTTTCCAAGTGAGATTTTTACTTGTGTTTCATGTCTTTCTTGCAGTCCAGTGTTCCCAAACCCTCTTCCTTCAAAGTTTTTTCTGTTGTGTGGTAATCTAGAGGAGACAGGAAACCTTTACCTTTCTGACTTTCAGTTCTATGTAGACTTAGTTCAAAGCAAATTAGAAGTGAAGAGACCTTAGGATCAGAACCTTTAGTTTATTCCCCAACTGCTTATTGTTGCCAGCTGTTATAGAGTTAATGAGTAGTGATTTACAAGTCGGATTTGTGAAACTTGTGAGTATTAACATTAAATCTTGTCTAGCACTTTGTTTATTTCCATAGCCTAATTACTTGCATCTATTTGTGCATTGTATGCGAGTGTTCATTGCCACTTGTAAGGCAATCAAATTTTACTCCAAAATTCTCCTAGTATATCTTACCCTATGACCGCTTTACATGGCTAACATTTTCAACTATTGGACAATTAAGAAATGGGGGGCAGAGGGATAGTAGATAAATATAGAACCATATTAATTTTTCCACGCATCTATATCTACAAAATGTGTCAAAAAGCTCACGTAAAATCTAGCACCCCACCTTCTAGCCTATTTGCAACCCTTTGCTGTCTAAACATTATATGATGGTTCAATTTTCCTT